CGCTCCCAAGGATCGGCGCGGTCCCAGCACGCCCAGCCACCGGCACCAGCCGCCGGGGCGGAGTTTGCAACTCACTTGAAAGTTGCACGGACCCTGGTCCTGCCCAACCCCGTCGCTCCGGGGCGAGGCGCAGGCGCAGTGCTGTCCCGGAGGGGCGGAGCCGGGTCGGGGAGCCGAGAGGCCGCCACTTAAAGGGACTACAGGGCCGCTGCTCGAGGCTAGGGCCTTCGCCTCCCTGGGCGGAAAGAGCTGGGGACTGAAGCAGGCCGCAAAAGCTGGGAGAGGGCTGCGGATTTAGCTCAGTGGTTCAGCCTCTCTAGTGCAAGGTCCTGAGTTCGATTCCCCAGTATCCAAAAAATAAATAAATAAATAAAAGGCCGGGAGAAGCATAAAGAAAATCTGGACTCTCGGATTCTCGCGGCTCTTCACTGGCTTCTCTCAGTGCCCTTCTTTGTGGTCTCATCTGTCCCGTGCTGTCAGATGGGATAGGGCAAGAAATGAGTGGGGTCGGCCCCTCAGGCTCAGAGATGAGCTGGAGGCCGGCCTGGCTGAGCCCATGCAGGTTCCAGTCCTACACCCCTGGGTCGCGGAGGTTAGTAAGCACCCAAAGAGGCCCAGCTGACAAAGAAGGAGAGGAAGGGGGAATGGGATGTAGAACCCTCCCCCCACCGGTAGGTCTCGGGGTGTACTCCTCCCTGGACCTTTTCCCAAGGTGCACACACCCAGGCTAACCATGAATAACGAGATTCTGGGTGGAGCAAACAGCTCACTCTGGGCCTTCCACACCCGAAGCTTGAAATTTCATCGCTGGGCCTGTTAGGACACATCTGTGATTCCAGTACTCTGGGAGGCTGAGGCAGGAGGATGCAAACTTCAAGCCCAGCCTGGGCAACTTAGTGAGCTGTTGAGACTTTGTTATAAAATTGATTTATTTATGTATTTTCCGAGTACAGGGAATCGAACTCAGGACCTTGCACTTGACTGGCAGTTTCAGCGTTGCTGAGCTAAATCCCCAGCCTTGTCTTAAAATTTTAGAAAGGGCTGGGGCTGCAGCTCAGTGTGAAGGCCCTGAGTTCAATCCCCAGCGTGGGTGGACATCCCTGGGAACTTCATAGCACCTGTGTTTTTGTGGACAGGGGCTTAATTTTGGCAAAGCTTCTTTTTACCATGTAGGAAATATGTTCAGTGAAGTAACTTGCCTGAGGTCCCCCGGAGATGTTTACTGTGGCTGACGGCTAAAAGTGTGGCATGTTCTGTAGGATCAGCTTGGCCAGCTGAGAGCAGTCCAGGGAGGGGAACCTGGGACTGAAGAAGGTGTTCCGAAAGGGAGGCAGGGAAGGGACTCAGAAATGAAGAAGTTGCTGGGTGTGGTGGCGCATGCCTGTAATCCCAGCACTCGGGAAGCTGAGGCAGGAGGATCACTGTGAGTTCGCGATCAGCCTAGGCTACATAGTGAGTTCCAGGTCAGTCTCAACTACATAGTGACTCAAAAAACAAAACTAAACAAAAATGAAGAAGTTGGCCTTTGCTGCCTCTACAGCTTTCCACATGGGCTTTTGTTCTGTGTGACATCCTCTGCTTCTGCCTGGTTCTTTGCTCTGAAAATGGGGAGAAATGACCCCCTTTGCTGCACTGAGGAGAGGGTGAGAGCTGCCGGGGGCGTTGTGGAGGTGGAAACCCAGGCAGCTACTGCTTTTTATTAGAGCCACAGTTAACACTCATCACCTATGAAGTGAGTGGGATCGCTAATGATGGGAGCCAGGGAAAGGAGGCTTCTTGGAGGAAAATAAACACACAGTGATTATATAGTCTTAATTATTATCATCAATTTTATTGGGATTGCTAGGTGTGGGAGCCAGCGGTGAAACTGGCCCACAGGAGAAACTCACCCAAGGCCTCCTGTCTCTTTCACCCTTCCTGGCCACCCCACCCCCACCCCAGCCCCATGCCATGTTAGAGGAACAAGAAATGCCAGAAAGGTCCCAGCCACCACCCATCTCAAGGTACAGATGTGGTTCTTCCGGCAAAAGCTGTCCTGAGTGTCAGGGAACGAGGAAGTGCAAAGTTGATGGGACCCGGAGGGACAGCTCGGGGGCTGTGGGAGGGGGAAGAGATGTCCTTTGCATCAGGGACACACAGGAGCCTCGGTCCTCTGCCACATCCTCCTCACTGGCTTCGCACTGGAGCCCACGCCTGATCTCAGCATCAGAAGCCACCCTCTGTTTCCATTTGCTGGGGGGACCTCTCTGGCACCCACTCCAAGCCCACTAACCGGGATGGGCTCTCGCATGGAGACTCCTGGTCCCAACTCCCGTGCTTGGGACCTCTAAAGAACAGGTAGGCAGAGAGTCAGAGAGGCTGGCAGCTGAGGAGTGTTGCCCAGCTTAGCTGCGGCAGAAGGAGCGGACTCTGGCTCTTGTGGCCTTTGGTCCTAAGCTGTTGACACAATCACCCAGTTACACTGGGCTGCCGAGCTGCTCTCTGGACACATGGATGAGCTGCAGGGCAGGTGACCAGCAGAAAGCTGGGCATTCAGGGTGCAGTAGAGACAAACATCTCCCACCCGTGGAGGAGGCCCCCTGGATGGAGCAGCTGTGCGAGCGATGTTTGCCTTTTGACTGGGGAAAACAATGCCAGTGGCTTTAGGAGGCTCATCCTGCTCTCCCTGACAACCTCTCCTGGGCACAAATAAAGATCACTTTTCATTCTGTTGTTGTTGTTGTTGTTTGTTTTGGTTTTTTGTTTGTTTGTTTTTTGAGACGGGGGCTTGCTATGCCATTCAGGCTGGCTTTGAATTCACTCTGTAGCCCAGGCTGGCCTCAGACTTCCCCAGATGCTCCTGCCTCAGCCTTCTGAGTGCTGGGATTGCGGGTGTGCACCAGCATCACCCGACTTCATTTCCACTTGAAGCCATAGGCCAGGCACTCCCAGGATGATAAGATTGGCTCCCCGAGGGTGCCTGCTCAGCCAAGAGGATGAATGTGGTTTGAGGAGGCGGAAACCCATACTAGTCACCCGTAGTGAGCATGGCTGGGGCAGGCTAGCTGAGTGTGTGAGGCCACAGGTAAGACGTTGGGTGCAGGAGCTCCAAGACTGTGGACGAGTGAGGAACCCCAAGCTCTGCACAGCAGTCCTCCCCAAGGCCACCCTGCTCCAAGCCGCCTGTGTCTCATGCACTCCTGCAGGCCAGCGCAACTCATAATTAGGTGTCTGCACTCCATCAAAGGACTGTGCATGTCTTAGTATACCTTTAGTGCATCTCAATCTCATGCTAGATAACCCTGTCGGGTAAGTCTGATTATACCCGCTTCACAGATGAGCAAACTGAGATGTGATAGGCAATGTAATGCCTTCACACTCTAGCAAGCTGGTCCAATCAGGATTCCGAAATAGTAGGTTTTCTTTTTCTCCTTTGCAGAAGAGGTCGAGGCTCAGAGAAATCAGCTGACTTGCTCGAAATCTCACACTGTGCACAGGCCACAGGTGCGCATCCCCCTGCTCCTGAGAGCTCGGTGGGTGCTCGGAGCCCATCTCCTTTACCCTGTGCCCACTGGTGCTCTCCGAAGGACAGAGCACCGAAAGGTGACACAGGACACACATATGTGAGACCTGGAAGGGGCCCTGGAGCCATGAGGACCCAGAGGACGGAGGTGACCCGTCCGGGGCCACATGGCCTGGCATTCTCTGCCTGAGGGGCTGTCATTTCCCATCTCCTGTCCCTGACCTTGTCACTGACCCACACAAGAAGCATCAGGCTTTACTTTATTGGAGCCCATGGATGGGGAGAGTGACAAGGAGAGGCGGGGTCCCACAGGTCCACGCCCCTGTTGTGACACACACTGTGTTCGTTCCCCAGATACCCATTCTTCCCCGGGAGCCTGGACACTACCTCCGGCTGAGGCCCTTCTGGCTTAGTTCCTGACTCCCCAGTCGTCACAGGCTCTCTCAGCTCCATTTTCTGGCATGAGGAGGGACGCTAATAGCCCACCCAGAGGACCCGTGTGGACAGAAAGCTGTGGGCTCTTTGCCCAGAGAGCAGGGAGCCAAGGCAGTTTCCTGAGCAGGGGAGGGCATGGTGGAAAGATGCTTTAGGAAGGTAACTGTGGAAAGTGAGCTGGCAGAGGGTGTGTTCAGGGACAACAATGAGCAGGCAGGTTTGGACAAAGCTGGAAAAGGAGAAAACCATCTGGAAAACCTTGGGACAAAGAATGGGGAGAAGACTTGGTGGCTGATTAAATATGGAGGGAAAGGGGCCAAGAATGTACGTAGGACTCCACGGTGCCTCATCTAAGGTGGACGATGGTGGGGACATCTGCCACCCAGAGGGGCTGAGCTGGGCTGGAAGGGGAGGAGGGACAGACTCAGGCCTTTGTGAATCCCCAGCCTGTAATCTCCAGGAAGGAACACGGGACTGAGTCAGCACCGGGTGGAGGAGACTTGTCACACTGGCCCAGCACCTGAGCGTCATCGCTGTGAACTCCTGACCCTGCCCCCGCTGACCCCGGGGGCCCAGTCCTTGGAGGGAGAGAGGAGGAAGAGGGTCTGGAAGCTGATGCAAGCTGCCTTGGGGTGTGCTTAGCAAACAACTTGATGACACCTGAGAGCTGGAAGGGGGTGGAGCTTTTTATTCGAAGCAAGTGAGTCAAAGCATTGCCCCAAGTGCCCCTGCATCCTGCCACAAGGAGTCCCAGCTGCAGAGGCCCTCCCTCCTCTCCACCTGCCTCACTTGGCCTCTGGGAGCAGCTTCTCCATGTGTCCAGCAGAGGGCAGCAGAAGCCAGGCTCCTGATGTGCCCCCAGCCCATTCTTGCTCACAGCTCAGCTTCCATCCAAGGACAGTGCTCAGGGGGTGTGCCTTGGGGGCAGCTGAGAGGTGCCAGAGCTCCCGAAGACTAGAAGCCCAGCTCTGTTCTTAGCACCCACAGCGGAGAGTCGGGGGCTCATAGGTTCCCTGGCTCAGCCAGCTCCTGTACCCACTGAGGAGAATCACAGCTCAGGGGCCCCATCCCAAAGTTGGGATGAACCAGGGATGGCCAGGCCTGAGGAAGTGACAGCTACAGAAAGGCTTGTCTGGGTGGTCTCCTGTCCCCAAGTAAACTGGGATTCAGGGTCACAGAAGAAAACTCCCGTGAGAACCCAGGGCTGGTATTGCTTCAGGACAGAGAAGCAAGCCAGCATGCCCAGGCTCACCAGTGTAATTGTTGTAATTTTCCTTATCAGCTGCGGCAGGTGTACACTGCAGGGAGCAAAGGAGGAGCAGCATTGTGGATCCCTTCAGGAAGAGCAGCAGCAAGGCAATAACGGGGGAGCCCCTTTGGGCAGCACCCAGAGGGACGTTTTTACCTATGGAAGTACGAGTGGACAGGTGTGCACGAGTGAGAGGCTGTGTGTCTCTTAGTTCCAGGTGTGTATGCACTAGAGGCGTGGCAAGAGTGGGTGCACTTGGGAGCTGACAGCTGCGGCTGCAGCATGGAGTGTGAACAGGTGAAGACACACCTGGAGTGCCCACAGGAAAGGCCTCTGTGGGTGCCAGAAGTGGCCAGTGGGAAGGCTGGGCTGAGAGCAGGATGGGTGGGCTGCTGCCCCTCCCTGTGCCCAGCTCATCACTCCTAAGCACGAGCAAGGAAGCAGAGCCCTGGGGCCTACAGATGTGGGGGACGGTGCACACGTACAGGAGGGCCAGGGTGCCTGGGTACCTGGTGCATATATAGGAGTTCATGCTGATTATAGAGACAAGGAATGCCTCTCCAGGCCAGTCTGTGGTGTGTGTCCAGGCTCACCCATGTGTGTGTGTATGTGTGTGTGGGCAATATGCAGGTTGGCCAGTGTGGCTCACACAGGCACACGTGCTGCTCAGAGGCCCCACCCAGCCTCCAGCGCCAACCTGAGGAGCCCAGAGGCCTTGACACCCCTAGGCACTGAGATCCACCACAACGTGTCGGTATACCAGCGTCTGTCCCTTGAAGCTGGGGGCCAGGAGCAGCTGGGCGTCCCCAGCGGGCATGTAGCAGAAGGCCCGGGGGGCCTGCACCGCCAGCTCCTGGAAGCGTACAAACTTCTGTCGCCCCTCGTCCCACTGGTAGATCTGGGTGAAGGAAAAGTCACTGCCCAGTGCCAGGTAGCGGCGGCCACCCACCAGGAAGGGCTGCAGGGCCAGGGAGCCACGGGACGGCAGCGCCTGCACCTCAGAGAAGCGGGTACCCTCCCAGCGCAGGATCTTGGAGTCTCCGATGTAGCGGCTGAGACACAGGTAGCTGTCACGGCCAGCGCGGAAGTGTTTCACAGCCTGGGCATCAGGGACCTGAGTCACCTCTCCCTGGGGCACAAACTGTTTCTGGGTTCGACTCCACTGATAGATGACGGGTGCCTGGGAGCTGCTAGACACAATCAGCCGCGGCTTGCCCTCGCCGTCCACAAACTCGAGGTCGGTGTCACGGTGCCAGGCGTGCAGGGCCTGGTGGGAGTAAAAGCCGTTCTGGTGCCAACGGTAGAGGCTGGTGGCACCTGCCTTGGAGCTGTCGGCCACGGCAAAGTACCAGTCGCCGTCGATGCGGAAGGCCTCCAGGTCGTTGGGTTTGCGCACGCGCTGTGGGTCGATGTCCTGCAGCTTGGTGAAGCGCGTTGTGTTGGGATCCCAGTGGTAAATGTAAGAGCCACCGAACAGCTGGGCCACGACCACGTACAGCTGGCTGTCCACCACCATCGGCTTGCAGTGCACGGCCGAGGGGGCTGCCAGCAGAGGGACGGGATAGAAGGCAGTGGCAGGAGGGTCCGCTGCAGAACCCACCCGCGCCGGTGTCCATCTGCCCACACTCCATGCGCCCTAATTTCTAACTGCTTCACCAGCAATCATCAGTTTCTGTGTCACCCTTCGCCCACCCTTCGCCCCACGGTGCAGACATGAGCTGACTGTGATCACAAATCAGGTGTCCCTAGGTACTGATGGGTGCTTCGCTGTGTGTCAGTTACCGAATTTTTACCGTGTGCAGGCACTGAGCTAAGCGGAGACACAGTACCTCCATGAACCAAGGTGAAAAGGATCAGGTTATTTTGTCCTCTTCACATAGAATGAAACAGAAGCTCAGACAGGGTGACTTGCCCCAAGCCACCCCATGGGCATTTGGCCTGGCAGGGGAGGGAGAGAAATCTCAGGCTTCCCAGCAACACCTTGATGCATGGAAATGATTGTCCCTGGGGTCCCGAATTGGGAAGGGCTTTGAGTACTCACCTCAGGCCTCCCTGAACCCTTCTCAGGCACAAAGCACATGAGGCTGCCACCCACGCTCCTCCTCACCACCCCACCTTCCCCCAAGGGAGCTGTGCAGCACACAGGCTCCAGGGGTCACTGCCTGAACCCTGAGCCCTGGCCTGCCCCTAGCTCCCTTCTGAGCTCAGATGTAGTCTGGCCCACACGGAGCTCCTTACCCACCATCCAGCTGGCCCCTCCTCCTGTGCTCGCAATTTCAACATGAGTCCCCAGTCTCCCAGTCCAGAACCCTGGGGGTCTCCCCAACACTTCTCCCCATTGCTCATATACCCCTCGAGCCCCAGTCCTGGTATTCCTCCCTTCTGCTTGCCAGAAGAGTGTGTGTAAGATCCACATTACTTCTTCCTTAAAGATTTGGTGGGACTCACCAGGGAAGCTCTCTAGGCCCGGAGTTTTCTTTGGGGGAAGTTTTTTTTTTTTTTTTTTTTTTTTTTTAAATACAGACTTCATTCATAGATCTGGGGCATCTTAAATATCCCTGTGTCTTGCATCAGTTCAGATCTTTCTCAGTCTCTGTCTATCCTCACTGCTGCTGCCTAAGCCAGGCTCTGGGGTCCCTGCAGCGGGCAGGCACACAACCCCTTTTCTGGTGGGAGTCACACTCAGTAAGCTGCCTAGACTGGGCCTGAAATTCTGAACTGCTTCAGCGTCCTGAGTGCTGGGGTTTTAGGCATGCACCACCACACCTGGCTTCTCCTCTGTCCCTTCATCAAAGTCAGTTATTCAGGCTGCCCATGGTCTGCACACACCCACACTCCCACACTGAGCCGTTGCACATCTTGTCTTTGTTCCTGCTGTTCCTTCTGCCAGAACACCCTTCCCTATTTTTCCCTTTGAAGTGTTCCTCAGCTTTCAAAATTCAGCACAAGCACAGTAGACCCCAAACTGAGCTCAAGAGCCACTCTTATTGCCTCCTCCTTTTGGGGGAGGGTTTGAGACAGGGTCTCACTATATAGTTCAGGTTAGTCTTGAACTCACTATGTAGCCCGGGCTGGCCTCAAATTCACACTGGTCCTCCTGCCTCAGCCTCCTGAGTGTTGGGATTACAGGCATGCGCCACCACTCCTGGGTCACCTCCTCCTTCTTTCTCCCCGATTCCCCCTTCCCCCTTCCCCTTCAAGAGGCAGCGTAGGTGCCCCCTCCACCCCAAAGCCTTCCTGGATGCCCAGAGCATTGTGTTGGTCCTCCCTCCCACCACCTACCTGTTGTATGGCTGTTACCCCTTGTGTACCCCCCAGCAGAAGAAAATCTTTACGGGCAGAGACCTTGTCTCAGCCATTCCGTAATAGGACTTCAGTGGAGCTGAGCTGCTGCAGTCAGCACAGCCAGGTAGGGTGCAGGTACCTGGGATTCTATCGTAGTCTCGAAGCTGCCTCTCCACGTAGTCCCACTTTAGCACGGTGCAGGCGCTGGCGCCCGGCTGTGCCAGAGCCAAGTAGAGGTCGCTGGAGTAAAGGAAGGGCTCAGCCGACACGGCTGGGAAGGACAGGGTCTGGTAGAGCACGAAGTCTACAGGGATGAGAGGTGCGGGCAGGCAGGACTCAGCCCAGAGGAAGCAGGGGCCCACTCCCACCCCCGGGGGCACCGCGGACACCGCCGACCTGTGGTGATGCAGTCGAACTCCCGCAGTGGCAGGTCCTGCACCTTGTGGCCCTGGAAGCGGGGCGGGCTGGCGCAGTAGATGGGGGCCACGGTGGTGTTGGTGTGTGCCAGCCACTCCACCAGCCACTTCGCCTTGCAGTCGCAGCTGAGCGCGTTGCCCCGCAGGTCCCTGGAGGGCGAGGGCGGGGCGGGGCACAGAAGGGCAGGCTCTCCACTGCTCTGCCCACCACCCTCTAGCCTTTCAGAGCAGATCCGATCCTGACCTTTGCAAAAGGTGCGAGGGGGCGGGGCTCCGCAGGAGCAGGTGGGGCGCCAGGCTCGGCCAGAAAAGCAGGTGCCGAGTCGAAGCCCCTGTTGCCTCCTTGTCCAGGTGTCTTTTTTTTTTCTTCTTTCAAATGGGACTGAGGATTGAACCTAGGACTTTCACATGGAGCTACATCCCCACTTTTTACTTTTGTTGTTGTTGTTTTTAACTTCAAAATATGGTCTCGCTAAGTTGCTAAGTTACCCAGGCCAGGCTCAAACTAGTGATCCTCCTGCCTCAGCCTCCTAAAGTGCTGGGAATATAGGAATGTGCCAACACATGTGGCTTCCCAGCTGCCTTTTGCAGTGCACAACCTGCACATTTATCTGTCATGCTCCTGTCCCTCTAAGCTTCCTATAATGGAGAACTTTTATTTTCTTGTATCAATAATAAATGACTCTATAGGACTTTTAAAATTTAATTTAATCTATCTATTTATATATTTTTCCAGCACTGGGGATTGAATTCAGGACCTTGTGATTGTGAGGTATTACATCCCTGGCCCTTATTTTTTGTTGTTGTTGTTTGTAGAGGCAGGGTCTCCCTTTGTAGTTCAGGCTGGCCCTGAACTCACTATGTAGCATAGGCTGACCTCAAACTCACAGAGATCCTCCTATCTCAGACTCCTGAGTGCTGAATACGGAACTTTAATGTAGATTCAAATCAAACACACATTTAAAAAGCATGCTTTTTAAATACATTGTTCCTTGTGTGTATTTCTTTTCTTTTCTTTTTTCTTTTTGGTACTGGGGATCGAACTCAAGACCTTGTGCTTGTGAGGCAGGCAGTGGCACCACTGAGCTAAATTCCTAGCCCCCTCGTGTGTATTTTAAGAGGTGATTTGAGGAACCCCAATTTGGAAGGCTACCACCTATATCTAACCTGACATCGTCTCAGAGCCCCCAAACCCCCACTACCCCAGCCTTTTAAGGCCTTATGGTCACCCCAGCCCTGGCTCCCTCTGGGCATGGTGCCCTCCATCAGAAGAGGCAGGACTTGGCCTTACAAGTCACTCAGGATGTCCAGGGGCCGGAAGATGTCTCTGGGCAGTGTCTGCAGGTTATTGTTGGCCAGTGAGCTGCAAGAGAGACCCCGGGGTACCCTGAAAATTATGACCAAAGCCCCCGGCCGGAAGAGAGGTGGGCTTCGGGTGCAGCGTGTATATGAGTGTGAGGTACTCACAGGTGTGTCAAGGACTTGAGTCCCCTGAAGGTGAACTTGGATAGGGCCCAGATGTCATTGTTTTCAATGAAGCTGGAGAAAATGAGAGCTGACCTCAGCTGCCACTTGCAATCCTAGGCCCCCCAGCAGCCGTTCCCTGTACACCAGCCCAGACCCCAGCCCCAGCATGAGACAGGCTCCTGCCAGTCCAGCGATGCCAAGCCTGTAAGGACAGGGCCTCAGGCAGTGTAGGCAGGGGATAGGGGCTCTCTCGCCTGTCCCCCTTCCCCCAGCCTTCTCTCCTTCTCTGCCACCACTCGTCTCAGCTGGCCCAGGCCTGGCTCCCTCCCGCCATCTGCTTCCCAGTGCCCTCTTCCCCCACCCACAGGTACTGCAGGTGGGACAGTCCTGTGAAGGCGTTGTCTCCAATCAGCGTGAACTTGTTGGAGTTGAGTAATCTGGGAAGACAGAGATAGGATTAGAGCTCCCCAGGGTGTGCGTGCTGCCCTAGTCTCCTGCCTCCCCCAGTGTCTACTCTACACCTTGGGACCTCAGCACAGGACAGCTGTCCAGCTGTTTCTTCATTTAGCCCCTAGCTCTTTCTGCAAAAGATCCCTGGGGGTCTCCTGCCTCTAAGATGACCCAGATGTCTATTCTCCAGCACTGGCCCAAGCCCTTGCACCCAACTCCCCTGGGTCTCTCAAGGAGCCAGGTCCTATCCCAATCCCACTTGCTTGGCCTCTGATGCAGCCCCCAGCCCTTCTCATCATCTGCCACCCTGATTCCTCACTCCAGGCTGCCTGACCTTCTGTGGCAGAGCCTAGAGGAGCCTAAGCGACATTGACATCTTCATCTCTAAAGCATCTGTCCCCCTCTACTGCGCCCCCCAACAGCCCTTCCATGAGGCCTGGTCCATACAAGAACTGCAGCAGTGGCAGATGGGAGAAGGCTCCATCCTGGATCTCTGAGAAGGCAGCATTCACCAGGGTCCTGCAAGGGACACCAGCGTCACCACTGTAGGGCTCTGCAGGGCCAGCATTGGCCAGAGAGAGCGTGGGGCAGTGGCCTCTGTACCAGGCCTGTCCCCCCACTTGCATCTCGCCCTCTCTTCTGTTCCCAAACTCCCTGCCCTCCTTTACCTTTCCCCTCCCCCAATGCCTCAGGGAGTGCCAGTGGCCCCAGGCTCGCCTTCCCTCTAAGCCAAGGAAAAGTTCCATTAACTGAACCATTGTTATCATCCAGACACCTGCAAAGTGCCAGTGCCACGGTAGGAGGGGGCACTGGGAGCTGGCATCCTGCGCTCAATTCCCACAGACAAGGGGGGCCTGCAGCAGGCGCCCGTCCCATTCCCGGGCACCAGGAGGGCGGTGAGAGTCGACAGCCCTAATCCAGCTGCTCCCCCCTCCTCCCTGTTGCCCTTGGGGTAAAATGACTGGCAGTGGCCCCACAGGCTTGCGCCATCAGCCCTCCACTGGGCCTGGGGTCCTGTGCACAACGGTGTTACTAATGCTCCTGCTGGGAAGACTCATCCTTGGCCACGGTGCTCTGCTGGCCCAGCCATGGCTGCTGAGCCCGCCTGACTGCAGAGCTCCCTGCAGCTGCAGCCCTGAGGATGGCGGGAGTCCTCCTGGTCCCCACACTCTGGAGAGGGAGCACAGGGGCTCCCCACCCACTCCCAGAGGGCTTCTCACCCTCCTCTCTCCCTGCCCATACTCCGGACATCCCCAGGCCAGGCAGACACTCACAGGGAGATGACCTCGGAGGGCAGGTTCCTGGGCACCGCCTTAGAGTCCACGCAGAAGGCGGTGTCCCTGGTGCAGGAGCAGCTGGGAGGGCAGGGGGGCGTCTTGGGGGGCCTCTTGGCACCGACTTGCAGAATCAGGCAGAAACCCAGCGTGGACAGCGCCAGCAGCCCGGGCGGGGCGCCTCTCCTGGCCCGCA